TATTAGTTGATGTGTTCGTACAAATAAAGTTCGTTGTATTACTTTTTCTTCTTTCTCAAGATCAAAACATATTGAGCGCTGCTCTAAAGCGTGAATCGTATTTTATAATCTGGAGCTTAATTCAAAATACAAAATATGTTTGCCACCTTTCCAAATAAAACTTTTATTATGTGAAAATATAATTAAACTAAAACGTTTCAAAAATATTAAACTAATTCTTCCGTTATTCAATATCCCGTTTGCGAATGCTAATCCCATTGCAGCGAGTCTTGAATAGAAAAATATCAGCTCATGCCAGATAAAGCGAAAGAAAAACAGAAGACTTCCCCTTCCTCTGATCGTTCTGATCGCGCTCTATAGTGTAATCCAGTTTAGTTCAGTTGATTCCTTCGTTTAAAACTCATCGTGTCAATAAAATTTCATGAAGTTTCCTTTCACCTTGGAATAAATTGAGTAGGATCTTCAAGCGTATTTTTCTCCTCACATTCATATTGCCAAGATTTTCTTGACAAAGAAGGAGTTTACGAAAGCCCAGGGCTGAAATGAGCGACAAATATCTTCTTGCGTTTAATTCGCACACGCGATGTTATAGCTTATCCCACCTGCTTCGATGCCAAGTCAAGTGCGTTCTCAAAATAATCATTGCCAGTATTTTTGGCTTCATTGCAAAAATGCATTACTTATATTTCTCCAAATAATTCATTGAGGTACTTGAACGGGGGACATTTTAAAAATACACAACTAGAAAAAAAAACATAAACAGCTTCATTTCTCAGGCCCACGGTCGTCTTGATATCCTTGTCACTAGCGTAACGTCAATGTTTGCAGGCAGAAAAAACTAGTGATATATAATTAAAAAAATTCTGAGTGCATATCATAGGAACTGACAATCTAATTTTTTTTTTAACTTAGTGAAATTCGGATAATCTAACTTCGCCAGTGTGCGCTCATATCCAGTGAGCGCCCCGGTCTGCCAAGGCCTGTCAACACGCTGGGTGCACTCATATCCAGTGAGCCTCCCGATCTGTCAAGGCCTGCCAACACGCTGGGTGTGCTCATATCCAGTGAGCCTCCAAATAATATTATTATTTTTAAATAAATTATTTTTGAACGAAAATATCTGTCACAAATATCTGTCTGTGGAATAATTGTGAAATGTCTGTTATACCGATTAGTTGAGAAAAATTAATACAAAACTTTTGTGCCGATGGAATGCATGAAATGTACACACCGCATTAGCATACGATTTCAACACGGTAATTACTGTATGTATTGACGATATTCTGAGATTTTTCGCTTCACATTCCCATAGCAAATAAATTACCAAAGTGGTATAAAAACTCATACTTTTGATTGGAGTAGGAATTGACAATGTTAATTAGGGTGTGATTTGGGAAGGGGGGGGGTGAGAATGCGACTAGCAAGATATAGGGCGAAGTGGTTGTTCCTGTTCATGACGAAAACTCTAGGTTGGTTAGGGTAAAGTCAAAATGATGATACATTGTGTGTTGCGGGGTATATCGTAGTAGGGCGTGCGCAAGTAGGCATTCTTGAGCATGTCAGTCTTAATTAAGCCTGCGAGCGGCCGCGGCGTAATTGACTGTGGTTGACATCGTGGACAAGATGATAGACAATATAGTGTTGAGGCGCAACTGCCAAGGTAAACGTTACGAAAGTGAATGACGACACGATATTATTCAAAAAAATTTTATCAGCTATCGCCGTTGTGAGAAAGATTGGTGTCAAGCAGCGGAAGACCATTGACAGAATCCCGAATGAACCACGAACACGGATTTGCGCTGGAAGTCTGGAACGAAGCTTACGGAGAATACAACAGCGGATGCATTAGAAATCGACGACGACTCGACCTCATTCAGTGAGTCCTTTATCAGCTCTCGACATAGTAAAAGAGGACGCTAAGCCAAGGAGTCACGCAGATCCCGCGAGGCCGTCGATTAACTACGGCGGAACAAGTTGCGGAGAAGTCAACCAGCCCTCAGCGTCATGGTGTTTTTGTCGTCAACCCAGTGATGTACCAGTTGGGAAAACTGGCAGCTCTTAGCCATCAGGTTCACATGGCAGTTCTGGCAGTGATCGAGGACGCACGCAGTGTTTGCGGGTCCCAACTTTCTCACTTTTTACTATGCCGGTTTGACTTATCTCGCGAATTTTGTACCATTAATTAGATGTAAATATGTTGCCTGTTTTATGCGTCAATTTAGAATTTATAGTTATTACCAGTATTTATAAGTAGGTGCCAGTCTGACGGTAAAACTGTCATCTAATTTCGTTATTATGCAAGAATGAATAGTTAGCTATTGTGACTTCTCCAGAAAAAACTTGCTGTCCAAACATTTTTATCATTTTTCACGGCATTACTTGCTGACTAGAAGAATTTTAATTAATATACCAGGTAGAGAGTGGGTTTTTGAACTGGAATTTTCTGTTCAGAAAACTGGGTTTTTCCATTTTTTTCCTCTTCATTCATATTGTTCAAAAAATATTCGCATTTTTCTCCAAATTATTCATTTCTATTAAGAATCAATGCCTTTTAAAAGTAGAATCAAGCTAGTTTAAAAGACATAGAAACTTTCTGACTATTTTCCAGTTCCGGCATTCAAGATGCAGGAAATTATGCACCACAATGCCTTTCCCATGTAACATTATTCCCCATGCCTGGTATTTGAGGTGGGCCGGTAATGACAGTGTGACAGGTAGGAGACATAGGCGCGGTCACACCTGTGGGCTTCTAAATAGACACTCGTATTGGTAAATTGCCTGGCTGAGCTCCTTGCATAATGTCCAATTGGTCGCGCTCGCTTATCGTGGTGTGTAGAAATGATATGCCACTGCCTAACAAAAGACGGACTCTTGCTGAATGAATATATAATTCTGGGAGTTTATTACTCATCTTTAATCGCAACCTCTGAAAACACACCATTATTTATTATCCCTACATTCCTACGAGTTTTATGAATTGGTAATGCATTAATAATTAAAAAAATAATTGTAGAGCGCGTTTGTGCAAGCTATTATAGTTTTAGTTTATTTAGGCTCAAAATAAATAGAATTTAGGCGAGATTATTGCACAATTACCCATCGTGCGCGCTACAAAATAATTTACATAGGCATACGCCAGGTCGAAATGTTGCTCGATATAAGCCTTTTATAAAGCTATCGGTCACCGGTGTTTGCTTGGGAGTTCCTAATCAATATTACTTATGATAATATTGATTTTCCGGCAGATTATGGATGCAGATTTTAACATTGTCATATATTAATTTTTTTCTTTTTTTGTACTATCAACTCAATCAGATGTGGCTTTTAATTGTTATTATCATTTTTCATGTTAATAGCTTGCATTCTTTTATTGAAGATTTTCATTCATTAAAAATATTACCGAAAATTCTCCATTAAGTTGCAAAGAACATTGGAAACCTTTCTCATGACATCCATTCACTGTTGTTAATGCAAGAATAATAAAACCCGAAACTTCAACACGCCCGTTCATCATGATCCGATAGCGAAAATTTAAACCTGTCTATGTTAATTTAAATTAACTGCAAAATACGACATTTGATGTGCTAAATATATTCCATAAGCTTTTCTACTTTTTGCAACACTTCTCTTTAACTTCACTTCTTGTTGTTTGTCTGCAACAATTCTTATAATAAATATTTAACACACTTCGACCTCTCCAATCGATCTGAAATTTTGCACACTTGCTTAAAGTATGAGACAATGCATGAATCGATTTACATAATAAATAATTTTGAAAATTTGAATTTTTTGTGTAGAAAATTTTTTTTTTCATATATGAAAATAAAATTATAATCTCATTGTACATGTGTAACATCGGAGACACTGGATTCTTTAGAAGTGTTGTCTTTAAAAAGTAATTTTTAAATGCACATTTTATTACATTAACATTAGCCTAATCAAACAAATTCTAACTCCAGTCGCAGGGAAATGAATTAACATCGTAAGACTATAATCTACATGCAATTTCGCTGTGAAATCTATTCACGAGCGAATTTATTCCAGTTTTATCTACTTCCTATGTCGTAAAATAATGATTTAACATTGAAGAAAATTTAATAACAACATTTTAATTAATATGAGATATTATTATGATAATATCTTTGATAGATAATATTATCATCTATCCCTGTTTTATTCTGTTAATGAATATTTTATCTAAGCCTTTGCATACACTTTGAAAATAGCTCTAAAATCTGGATCATGATTGTGGTTGTTTCTAAATGTGCCTATTATGTTTCTTCGTCAAGCACATTAATAAATTTATGACCATTAAACAATGAGCTGTGCATATATGTGATATATGTAAAAAGGGGGTAGAACAATTAAATATTTTACTGGTCGTTGCATAAATTTGATAAGCTATCGTGGTCAGTGTAGTCTCAACCGCAGTGAAACATATTGTCTAAAGAAATGTAGTTGGAAAGAAATGAAGAATTCTCTATTATACCCTTTTAAGTTAAATTAGTTTTGCCGGTTTCATTTTTTCATTTGAACCCAGATTTGAAAGCAACTAACCTTTAACTTTTGGAAGTCACTAACCCCACAATTACTAACGTAACCCCTAAGTCCTAACTCCTCTCTATTTCATTACAGAGCTATTGGATTCTATTTTCATAATTGATTTTAGTGTTTCGGATCATAATTTATTTTATTTAGACTTTCTAAATAGAAGTAATAACAACGTCGGAAAAAATGATACAATTTCGAACATTCTAAGGAATGATTGTCAGGCAAAGGCAAAATGATTGTCATGATTTAGGCAAAATCATGCTAACGAATGATTTAACCTACAATAATTTATGATAAATTTATTAGACCTTGGCGACGAAGAAGAATCCTGAGGCTCCAACTAGCCAAAGTTCAACTAAGGCTCGACCTTCAGTCGAGTCTTCAATCTCAAGCGAGGCGCAGTGCAGGACATGGCATTAGTCACTAACCTGGGATGAAATATGCATATATTGTTCAAACGAATATCTTACATTATTTATCATTAATTGAGCCGTCTTGGAGCAGCAGTCTCTTGACCTGCCTGCTCTATACAGTGTCTTATCTCTGGCTTTCTGCCCACCAAACCCTGAGCACTATCCTGTCAAGGGACTACCCTATAGACGAATCTTCAGTGCTCTTTTAGCTTCAAAGAAAAGAAAATATAACCCTTGTTTGTGGCCGCAGTTCTTATAAGAGATGCTGGTCAGACGGTCGTTACGTTTAGTTTCCGTAACGGATAGATAGTAGTGCATATTTACAATAAACTTGTTGAAACTTATTGACTTTTAACACACTAACACGGAGAGTCCCCTCTATCGGCCGAGCGATTATAGTTATGCAAGTATACTAATGTATAAAGGTTTAAAGCTGATAAACACAATTTCTGATGTGTGCATTTACCAGGATGATGATGTCTACATTCTATCGTGACTCAAATTCTGCGTTACGATAGAGTAAGCCGACAAACTAAAGTGATCTCTCCAATCATTGTCACTTTATTCCTTCCAGTGCGCAAACTTGTTTTAATTTCAGTTGAAGATAAACGCCTGCGATGTCTACATCTGTTTTCAGCCATGAACAGTTTCTGGACAGGTCGCCTGAGGCCGTCAGTGAATTAAGGTGCAAGATTGAAGAACAGATGGATTCTTTATCTGAGCAGGTAAGATATATATTAATATACACTACTATTTTGTAGGTCTTACATATGGGCCTTCTAACTATACTCTCTAATCGTCTGTATTGGAATTTACCTGATTAAAATATATTTTTCCCTGTCGGTCATTGCTGAGGCACGTTTCAATGAACAAGAAATTTCTCCCAGACTACGGAAATTATTTTCTTCAGGACCAAAAAATGGAATTTCAATAGAATTTCCAGATAATGGAATAAGTAACAATGGAACAGAGAAAGCCGTTTCTGGCGCTAAAAGAAAAGTTGTCGATTAATATGGGTTCTAAATTTATTGACAAGCCGAAAATTTTTACCCTAGAGAAAATGTGGGAGCTAATAAACCTCAATTCTCGAAGTTAGGTTGAAAGATGCTAAACATTAAACCGAGTTATGACCTAATCTGGAGCTCACGTGCAATTTTCGTAGCCATGCGGAGGCATTCATTGCATGCTTCGACTATTAATAAATTTGGGATGACCATATTTCCAAAATTGAAATAATCACTAAAACAAATTACATTTTTCTATTCTGCATGAATAATATATGAAATAGAAGACTAACATTTTCCAGGTTATACCGCACCTTAACTAAATAATGCACCATTTCTTTTTTTACCACCATAAGCTAAATAATTATAAAATTTGGGGATTGTTTTAGGCGGCTTGGTTATTTTTCTGCGAAGAAAACCATTTAGCATAGCATAGTGATATCGGCGTTAAAGAATTACCTGTCGCCGATGCCCATAAAATTTTTGACTTTTGTCTCTTAGAAATCTGAGGACTGGGCTTTTGACAATATCTAGCTAAGACTGACATTGAAACTAAATAGCTGCTGAAGATTCACCGATTAGTAAGGTGGGAGGCATTTTCTATCAAGACTTATAACTATGACTAGCCTTATCTAGTCTATTTTTGAACGCGTTCATATTCTGAAAGTCAACGATGCCAGCAAGGAGTTTATTCCACATGTCGGTGACTCGCAGCTAGAAGCAATGCTGTCGTGTGGATGAGTTGCACGACTGTTTCTTGTCTTATTGGCCAATCATGCGGTCATATCCCCGAATGATTCGGTAGTTGAAGCAATATTTTTTGACTACTGTAAACCCAAGTCTGTATAGCCGGATAACCTATTGCAGAGACCACTACGCCTTAGCAGCTCTTAAATCTAACGTTATTGAGTACACCTGATTTAGTTACAGACCTTGCAGATCTTTTATGTGAATTACAATTTGATCAATTCTATTTGATTAGCGATTCCCTACATTTTTATACTGGTAAGCTTGGTTGATGATGCTGAAGGAACTTTCTGTCATTAAAAATTAGTAATGTGCCTAACTTTATTTCCATTTACTTCTTGCTATTAGTCAAGAGGGGGCTTGCGTGTTGCTTGATATAAATTTTCTCCGTCATCAGGAAGGCCATGAATTTGACATCCGCCTCCTCTTAAACCTGCAAAGAACCATCGACTTTCTCAGCACAGATGCGTTCCTTGACGGCTCAAATAATCATTTGGAAGAAATGGTAATTATGTTGGCCGGTAACAGGCAAATGGACGAAGTTTCCACAACTGACTTGCTTATCAGCGGGATGATGAAGATTGTTTCAACTTTTAAAGACAGCCCAAGTAGTAGAAGACGTTTCTCTTCAGCTAAGCAGGAACTTAGGTTACATGACGTTACTGATAGAGAGCTTACAAAGAAGTCATTGGGTGAGACCTGGAAATCTTCTTGGTCATAGATGCACTCAAATTGAACTACAAATCCGAGACTTGACAGCATGGACAACTGCAGCAACTTTCTTCTTCAACAAACAAACTGCCATCACCAAGAAAGTATTGCAGGCTACGTGTTTACAGGATTTTCTATCGGCTTGTGAAAGTCCAGTATGTAAACTCTGTTCCGAAACGCTGTGTGTGTCCAAGCACTTTATTGTTTTGGACGCCTGCCCCCACATCTGCTGCAGCGCATGCGTCACGCGACTGGAAGGAATTGGGATGCAGTTGCTTCGTGACCGGATGCCGGGGACACTATTCAGTCCAGCTGATTGGGCTCTTTTTAACGGGTAATGCTGGAGGTTACGAAATGGTTTAATTTTAGCCCTTTCCATCAATATTGGCGTAAATAAAACTGATGAAATAATTTATGCTATTGCATCTGGAATTGGGTATTGAGTGGATTTGGGAAACGCTAATATATATGGTCCTCGGATGGGATAAATAATAGGATTTTCATACGAGTGAATATAATTTGAAATTTCCTGGGCCAATTATTGGCTGAACACACAATTTGAAAATTGTCATAAGAAATGCTCTATTCGTCTATTCAAATGTAATGCACAGTGATAATGTATAAACATTTATAGGCACGTGCCAATCTATGTCCCACGTTCGCCGGGCACCAGGCAAGCCGTTACGAATTCTTTAATAATGCTTCTTATTTCGCAATTTATTTAGCGATAATGCATGGCAATCAGGCCAGACATGAACGTAATGGAATATCACGCGTGCTTGATATTATCTAATAATTCAATATACCCTTTCAATTCACATTTAAATCTCTAGAGTTAAGTCTCCCTCAAAGCTTCTGCAATTGTCTTAGAATGAATTGATTATCAATAGGAGTGTGCATTTCCATTTGCAGGTTTGGGTTTTAAAAAGCCCAGCCCACTATGCTACAGACAATTATCTTTATTATTAAAATACATTGCTCTTACGAGAATGAACTAATTGATAAATGATGCTTTTTTTCAGAAAAATATGTCCTACGTGCAAGATTGTGAGTCAAACTTTCGTAAGGAGCGAGGTAGCGGAGAAAATGTTGGTGCTGAGCTACGTTTTTGATAAATGCGGTCTCAGTCGAGAGCAAGTATTGATGAAGTTCTCGGAAGTTCATGAGTAAATCCTGCCACCATTCTATATGGATGTTGGTTGTGAATATCTTGTCGCAAATGCACAAGTGAAAATAAACGACGGCAGTAATTCGCTATATGAAAGAAAGCTATTTTTGAGTTGCTCATGAAGAACTGGTCGCTCGTTTACATGTTAACGTTATGATCCCACAGGCGAAACCTTGGCTTTACTTGCGGCCAGGCTGGTGCACATCGTAGCCAATTCAATTCCCTCCATAAGTTAAAACTTTGTCTTCAACGGTAGAGTTTTATTCATATCGACTTGAAGTTTTCTCAAGTAAATATTTTATTTAATTTGTATGAGTAACTTGGGAAGATAATTAGAGATGATCATTTTTAAATTATTGACTCGTTCCAAGAAATGTTTAGATAATACATCAGAGCTGAAGTTGAGGAAAGCCTAAAAACTTTAGCTCAATGACTTGAAAGTCGTACAAAAGATTGAAGTTACATGAGCAAATAAATGCAATGAGACTTATATGAATTTTATGTTGATGATCATCGGTGTGTGGCACCGATGTTGAATTTTAACAGTACATTTTATCAACTGGTTTTGTTCTTACCTTGTGTTTATTGCAAATTTTATAGCAATGAAATTCTCGCCGATGTCTCCGAGTTTCATGCACCTTCGCCAAATAAACCCATTATTTTCAATTTTGCGCATTTTCTGTCGAGATAACGAGTCCAGTATAAAATAATATTCATGTTCCTGAGTTCAAAAATCATTGCAAGACATTCATTGCAAACTATATTCGTCGAAGAGAATATTCTTTATCGTAGAACGTTACTTAGAACGAAACTGCTCTTTTAAGTATTCCTACTTTGTGTTTCGGACGTAGCAGTCCCAGGCCACGATTCTCAGCCACAATGCATTCTCAAATTAATAAATACTCCGCTCTGTTAATAATGAACGCAACAGCGGCTGGTGAGTTGAAAGCAATAGCGGCTGTCCGTGGACAATAATGTTATTCTCGTATGTTCTCGTAACTCGTGTCGATAGAGATTTCAGACTTAATTTATATATCGAGGTGAACGTTAATATTTCAAATAAGGTTTGAAGTTAGCGACATGGTTTAAATGCGTTATCAATAACTTATTTCAATGAGTAATCGTTTAAATTTATAAAGCAAGAGGCATTAAAATTTTTGTATCTTAGGATGGCGTTGTTGCCTTGCAAGTTAATCGATAAAAACCACATTAGTATCATCGTCCTCACGACACTGACGGGAAGACCGGACGGAGCAGAGCGAAGTCACAGTGGATGTATATATTGAGAATTGCCTTAGAACAAGACCAAAAAGGAAGCTTTCAAGCGATTTATGTTGATGATCATCGGTGTGTGGCACCGATGTTGAATTTTAACAGTACATTTTATCAACTGGTTTTGTTCTTACCTTGTGTTTATTGCAAATTTTATAGCAATGAAATTTTCGCCGATGTCTCGGAGTTTCACCTTCGCCAAATAAACCCATTATTTTCAATTTTACGCAATTTTTGTCGAGATAATGAGTCCAATATAAAATAATATTCATGTTCCTGAGTTCAACAATCATTGCAATACATTTATTGCAAACTATATTCGTCAAAGAGAATATTCTTTATCGTACAACATTACTTAGAACGAAACTGCTCTTTTAAGTATTCCTACTTTGTGTTTCGGACGTAGCAGTCCCAGGCCACGATTCTCAGTCACAATGCATTCTCAAATTAATAAATACTCCGCTCTGTTTACAATGAACGCAACAGCGGCTGGTGAGTTGAAAGCAATAGCGGCTGTCCGTGGACAATAATTTTATTCTCGTATGTTCTCGTATCTCGTGTCGATAGAGATTTCAGACTTAATTTATATATCGAGGTGAACGTTAACATTTCAAATATGGTTTGAAGTTAGCGACATGGTTTAAATGCGTTATTGATAACTTATTTCAATGAGTAATCGTTTAAATTTATAAAGCAAGAGGCATTAAAATTTTTGTATCCTAGGATGACATTGTTGCCTTGCAAGTTAATCGATAAAAACCACATTAGTTTCATCGTTCTCACGACACTGACGGGAAAACCGGACGGAGCAGAGCGAAGTCACAGTGGATGTATATATTGAGAATGGCCTTAGAACAAGACCAAAAAGGAAGCTTTCAAGCGTTATCTGTGGAATGGTACTTGTACATATTATAATCTGTAAATGTTATCATCTACATACAGCGAGCACAAATCAAGTAAAGATTAGTTGCACGCCGAGTAAAGAATTTCGAAAAAATTGTTGCCAGGAATGCAAAAAAAAAAATATTTTTCTGTACTCTTGGTCGAAGTCGGGAAAGAACGATGGGAATTTCTAATTCAAAAGCAAATAAGCGCAAGAAATAATCTGATGAAGGCAAGGCTAATAAAAAATAATCTGATCAGTTTTCAGCAGCTCCTTATGAACGAGGACTTCTATACAGTTGGCTTTAATTTGAGGAGCGCCAAGTTTGTTCGAAGCTAGCAAGTTTTGAAGTACTGGAAGAAGAGGTTTTCAAGTGCCTGATGGCTTTAAATCCCATCAAGTCGTGTGGACTTGGTGGCTTCCAATCCATTCTACTACCATATGCACGCTGATGACAAAAAAGTTTCGAATACACTTAATGATGCGTCGAAAAATGTAAAGATGAAAGAGAATCTCGATAGTTTAATTGACTAGGATGATACTTGGAAAATGCGTTTTAATGCGGATAATGCATACCTCACCTTGGCTTAAAGAGAAAGATTACAGTGTGAGAAGACATGGTTGCCACGATAGACTGATAACTGCGAAGTCGACAATGGAAAAAGATTGAGAAGTTTATATCGACATGTTGTTGAAATTTTCTAAGCTTATGGAATAAGCCAATAAACTGCTTGGACTGACGCTCCTACGAGTACCTATAGTTTCAGGATCGATAAATCTATTCTTTTTCGAAATCGTGCCCCTGTTGAGTTTAGATACGATGTTTGATCACTGAAACTTTATATGGACAAAAAATTTGTCTGGAGTTTTCAAATAAGTGAAATATTGTTGATTCGATGCTTGAAGGGCGAGTTTCATGAATAGAGAAATGATCTTATGATGTTTCCGTGTCTTTGTTATCAAATTTTACGTTGCGACCTCATTGACGCGTACAAGTATATACTCATGGTTTATACAAAATTCCAAAATGATTACTAGAATATAAACCCAGAAACTACTCTAGGGCCCATGCTTATAAACTTGAAATTTAGCATTTTTTCTCTATTCGAGGCTCCGACATGTAGAACAGACTCCCAGCAGGTATCGTTGACGCTCGCGTTCAAATTAGATTCCTAAAGCGATGAAGAGATTAGTGTTTCGATTTGCAGTGCCTCCCACCTCATAAATTGGTGGATGATACACAACTATTTAGCTTCATCATCTTTGGATAGATCTGGTCAAATGGTCCAGATCCAGAGAAGACAAGTCAGTAACATTACATGAATTGGCGCCAGGTTAATTCTTCAACTCGGACATTTCAATACTATTCTAGCCACACCACATGAGCCGGGCATTCGACTGCGGAAATGCTTGAACGTTAATGAAACCTGAAGGATAATAAATGAACGTGTCATTTTAAAATCTGCAGTAATCAGCTGTAAATTTTTGCTTGAAAATTTTCAAATAATTTAATTCGTTTTCCATCAATATCTATTCCATTACAATACATCACAATATTCCATCACAATTTTAAGGAGCACTAATTAAGATCGTTTACGAAAAGTATTTTGAAGCGTTATTTATGTTATTTTGGAAAACAATACGATAAACAATATATATCTGTGTTCTCCAGATATGGATTTGCTCGCGATTTCTGCAGTATACCTTCAAAAAGACTATGTTTTCATCGGGGGGGAGCCACTCTTTTGAATCATTCATGAGCGGTACTATAATATTTATTTCACATTGTCTGCTTCTAGTGCGGATTGCGAAAATGAGCATTAAAGAATATTTGTAACATGTAACTTTGAATTACATGTCTTATGCACTACTTTAGGCCCCTTTATCGATAAAATGGTACGATATTTATGTAAAATATATTAAGCGGCGTCGTTTAACTTTACGCAGGGAACTAAATTTTCCAAGCAAATCCTTTACCTGATAATGAACCAAAGTCATACGGACAGAATGAGATCGAAAATATTAGTTTTTAGTTTTGTAGCTTAGTAGTTTTTATTAAATACATATTAGAGGTACGGAAATTCCCGCCTTGCTTGATTCAAAGTTAAGCAGATTTCACGATATATTCATAATTCTCTTCAAATTTACACACAATGCCGTCACGCACTCACTTCCATTTTAAATTGGGAAATATTTTCGCAGGCATGAGTAGCTGAGTGCAAGTAGCAAGTACTCATGTAGGCATGAGTACTGAATAGGCATGTAGGATGCATGAGTACTGAGTAGGCATGTAGGAATGAGTACGCAAGCATGAGTACTGAGTGCAAGTAGCTGAGTCGCAGGCTGCTGGTGCAACATCTAGAGTTCCAGCAGGATCACCTACATGTGTTACTGATTAGATTGACATTATGAATACTCAATGACAATGAGTACTTATTAAATCGCAAAACTTGATATTATATAAAATTTGTTTAGTAAAAATGACCATCATCTTTTAGAAACAAAAGGATTTAAATTCTATCGCGGAACTTGCTGATATATAACAAACGTATAAGTGATAATTTTCAACAGAGAACAAACAAATTATTTGGCACACAATCAACTCATATATAATTGATTGCGCAACGCATTTTTGGTTGTAAGAAAAGCCGTGATCTAAATTTGAAGCCTGCGCAAAATTTTTGATCAAATTTTATCCGATATCTTGCAGTTATTTGATATTTACGTATGATACCCATATTTATTTTACTTTTACTGCGAATGTTTTCCTCCCGAATTAAGATGTTTTATATTCAAAAATCAATTAATCACGTATTAAATTCTAATTTTATCGAAGTAAAAGCCTATAATTCTGCAATGAAAAGTGATTTTCGAAGTTGCAGTGCATAATTTCTAAAATTCCTGACAACTTTGTTCAAACTGCGAATGTGAAAGCGAAGTTCTCTCCACATTCGTCGTTACCCTCAAATAACATCCTGTAATTTTGTCGCTCCACGATGCTAGTATGGTAATCATAGAATAACCCCTCTTAGTCTTCTGTGACGCTTAATTAAGGAAGGTCCGCTTGTAGTCAGATCGTTTTCGGCGAGGTACTTTCAAGCTGCGATGAGTGGATTTTGAAAAAGTTGCCAATTTCCATGTCCATGTTCTGCCGCACTTCAAATCCATCTTTATTTGATTGAAATTTATCGTGAATTTTACGGATTATGTCGGTTAAATCCCCATCTTTCACAAGATTGGCGAGTGTTTGAATGTAAGTCATTATACAACTTAGAAAAAAGACTTTTTGCACGGGAGGTATCATATCATGATATCAACTGAGTTGAAATGTTCAAAAATTGTGAAAAATGAAGCTCTTGGTGGAAGTTTACGACGATGTTATTTGCTCTCGATTTGTTAGATAACACAC